TTTAACCACCATTACTGATTCATAAATAGGTACTACGAAACCATTAAATGCAACTGGTCATACTAATGGCAACTCTTAGGGTATCAGAAAGCTGTGCTGCCTAGGTTACTGCAAAATACAATGTGGAAGGCTGGGGTGGCGAGATACCACGTGACAGCTCTTTGGAACATTTATTTCTTTTAGTGGATTTTTATTTATGGTCCAATGATAAAAAAATGCACTGTCACTTCTATGCTACATGTATTCAAAGGAGAGAAGTTTTATTTTATGGACTTTGTAAGTTTGTGGTTGAAATGGACGTGCTACACCACGTAATCTCACATGTATCTGTAAATCTGTGTATTTCTGCTACAGCGATATGCGCCTTAAAATCCAGGCACAGAGCGGGAGCTCAGGATCTGCCAAAAGCAAAGCCTCTTTAGAGGTGCTGTTTCTGTGCAGAGGGGTGCGTTTGAGGGCTCCGGTTTGTGGTATATTCGACTTCCTAACTAATGGAGCTCCTCAGGGCCTAAGCTGCCAAGTGACCGTTTGAAGGCGACAAACAGAGAGAGGCGGAGGGGCAGACACCAGCCCCCTACCTCGTGGAATTTCTGTTTTTCAGCTAATTTTCCGACTTGGTCACACTTTTTAAAGATTACGCATAGACTTTTCTGAGCATTTCTTTTTAAAATTTTTCCTTCACGATTTTGTTTTGTTTTTAAGGAGGAAATTATTATGACAAGAATCACATCATTATGAATCAGCCGATAGACGACAAACATTCACAAAAATGGGATATTGAAATAGTGTGAGTAAAACCCACCACACAGATGGACCTTGTGTGGGTTATTAACACCTGGGGGGGGGCCGGAACCTACTGAAGTCACACACCACTGGAACCTTAAGCAGCAGCTCCTCTCTACTTTCCTTCATACCAACTCCTAAACCAACTGAATTTTGCACAGATCTGGAAGATGGGAGGTTGATCTGATGTCTTTCTGCAGGGAAGCTGATTCTTTAGAGGCCGCTCCTATGAAAGTCACTATTACTCTTCATCTGAAGTACTGAAAGTAACTGCAAAAGACTAGACGTGAGTTTTGCAGGATATGAACTGCAAGAGCTAACACGGGAAAGGCTCTTTAGTCTTTACCTTCCCCTCAAAAACTGACGGAAGCTCACTGAAGAATGAATGCACTAATGAGCTTGAAAGAGGTTGAGTTGGGCTTTTATTTCCCGAGTGAAACTGTGTAGGCTCCAAGCGATCCTGAAGCTCAAATCATGTATCTTGCTAAAATGCAATTTATTTTGTTCATAAAGACAACTTCGAACTGGAATTACCAGCTCAGCACATGAAATGGGGCAGTAGAGAAAGCCTGACTTTCACCCCCCTAATATTACTCGTAGGCCTTTGTCTTCGTTTCTTTTAACAATACCAAATTTCCAGATTCAGGCACTGGTTTTGCTGACCCACGGCCTGTTTCCAACCCATGACATTGTGAGTTATCGCTGAAGGTCACCTTTAATGTGGAGCCGTATGTGCATGTATCAAGAGAGAACAAACGGTCCTGGGTCGCGCTAGACTTCTACAAGGGCTAGCTGCATTTAGAGCAGTAATGATTTTAACTCTAGCTGTATTCTGTTTTGATGTGTATAGCGTAATTTAATACCATGTAATTTGGTCTTGAAACCACGTCTTCCTTCAGAAAATAATTCAGCCTCGTATGTATTTTCTAAGGTGCTAGCAGCCTGCATTTCAGTGCTTGTTTAGTGTTAAAAAAGAACAGTGTAACTGCACGTTAACGTTACTGTGGCCCCATCAACAACATGCACATCTTATCCCGGAGGGCGAGGACTTGGCGTGCCGGTGCTTTCCTCAACCTCAGCACTATGCAACCAGCCATGCTAGCTATCGCCTGAGACAGAGCGAGCCAAATACCTTACTGGACTGCAGTTATCGCAGCCTTGACGAGCACGTTCCTCACGCAACACTGACAAATACAGAAGGAACTCCAGACAGTTGTAGGGCTGTGAACACCTCACGTGGAAGACGAGTCCCTTAGATCACTGGTAACTTCATTTGATTTCAGCGTCACTAAATTAATCTACTTCATTGGAAATGTAGTATTTTTTCCTTATTTGTATATTCAGGGTATGTATTTCTGTAACTATTTAAAGAGTTTAGGTTAGCTAAAGACAGATATTTTTATTTCCAAAAGCTGTAACTATTCCAGTTGTGCATTCAAACAGGATTCATCCCCAAACAAATAAAAACACATAACCCCAAGTTTGCCACAGAAATAAAATATATGGATGTCTATTTTTGTATGAAATGGAGTTCTGTATAGTACTATTTAAAAAAAAAAAACCACAACTCTCTACTTGCACTTACTATTTTACGTTCTAAAATTACCATAAATCTGCTGTTTAAGTAACAGATCTTCAAATGTATGTATATATTTTTGCAACTAAAGCACTTGCTTAGCTTTTTTATGTAAGTCAGGATATCAAGCGTTCTACATGTGACTTGCTTTCCGTATGAAATTTTAAAAGCCTGTGTAAAAAGTTCTAGTCTTTTAAACCAAGAATGACTAAATCATAGTTGGTGTGTCAGTGTTACATAACAAAGTAAAGCAGGCTTTTGTACTTCAGAGATCTTGAATGTAAAATGCTCAGCCGTGTATATTTCAATTGTATAAAACTTTTTTTAAGAGGAGCGTTTTGCTTGTTGGTTTCTTTTTAAACAAACTAAATACAACAACAGGTTTTAGCAGATGTCGAGCACATTCCTGTAAAATGTTTCCTTTCAGATGGACAAAAAAGGGATAAGTATATTGCATATGTGACTGTGCTGTTACATTAGTTTGCATATTAAACATCGATGTTCAAGTATTGAAAGAACTGCACTGCTCCCATCAAAACCCACTCAAGTGAGCACTGAAGACACAGGTTCCAGTTACAGCTTTGGGTTACTTTCACACTAAATTGGTGCTGGGGAAGGTAGAGGTTAAATACTATTGTAGGTTTATTCCAGTGGTAGCACCAGCTGAGAGGAAAGGGGTTTTGTTGGGCAAAGTCTTACCCCTTTGGGAAACAACATACACAGCTCTTGCTGAGAAGCTTTTGTTCTCTCAGGGCAAACAAACAAAACAAACGGGTTTTCTTGCTGGTGAACTTCACAAATGAAAAAACAAGTTACTGGTTTTTGCCCAAGGTCCTGGAGCCTGCTCCGTGTCTGCCTTCAGATGTCCTCCACATCAAGGCGTATAGCCAGAGCAAAGGGGATACCACAGCACTGGTGTTAATACGAGTGACTTCATCCATCCACAGCCATGGGGCTGCGGCTCACTGGACGATGAGCAGCTTACCTGTTTTCCCCCGATGCCCATTTTCCCAAAGCTAAGGAAAGAAAAGTAACATTTGGCACCAGGAAAGTAGCAAAGTGTATATATTGCAATGCTTTGTTAGACAGCAATACAAACCAAAGGCTGGATGGATAAAAAAGTGATTTAATAGGCCTTTCTCTCGAGATTCTTAACGGCCAGAAATACTACTTACAGGAGCAGCTAATTCACAAAAGCATCAAATAACTTCAATTAGACATTCAGTCCATAGCGACAAGGCAAGGTTTTCTTTCTCTTCATCTGCGATAAGGTTAAGCTCTTTAACATAAACAGTGCTGCTACTCCAAATCTGCTTCAGTGCATCCAGGTATGACAAAGGAAACCGCAGTCCATGCGTCTGCTGAGGGGAGGGGGGAAAAAAAAAAAAATCCTTCAGCGAAGTGCGGTGTCGCTTATTACACAACAGCGCATTAGGCTGTAGGTACTGATCAGCAGGAGTGGCCTCCACTCCCACATCACACTGGTATTGCTGAGAGCATCCTCCAAAAGATGCTGTGTTATCCTGCCACCTTAATAGAAAAATAGCTGAAATCTCTTACGTGTTCTTGCACGCCTTATGAGGTAGGGAGGGAGGCTTAAGGTGTGTGGCTTCCTCATGTGGTTTCCACGCTGAAGAATGAAATAACTTTAAATTTACACTCTTGCCTAACCCTACCCAGTATTTCTGGACAGTCATACGTGTTTATTTCTGTCTGGCACATGCAGTCTTTGGACATAGTTTGACAGAACCACGGAGGACCTCCATTACCACAGCTGGAGTCTTTCAGGGCAGAAGGTATATTCTGGGATTTGTGCATATTGGACAGGTGCCAGCGTACAACCTCAGCTACCCGCATTCACTACTCTAGAGGACCAGTGAGATTTACCTGAAAAGGTACGTAACTGCCAGGCAGAAAGCCTTGCTGTAATTACTGAGGCAAGAACAGGCTGTGTTCTGCTTTGCCTCTGCGGTGTATTTGTGCAGACCTGTATTCAAGTGCTATGTGTGTGTGTGTGTATATATATATATATAGAGCGTCTTACTATCATAAAGTGGAACAAAAAGTTCCAAAGCTCACAGCCATCCTTCAGGAGTATTTATGATTCGAGCAAAAGCACATTGTACGTGCTGAGTAAGAATGGAGACGAACCACCTGCAGCCTCATGAACAATATAAAAAGTTCCCTCCTTAAATTTCAGTAAAAGAGTTAACTCTTTACTCCCAACGCTGACCCACCCCACCCTAAAATGAACACCCTTATCTTGCAGTACGTTCCAGTGGATACAGACGCTAACACGGGTTCAACGTCACATAAACATGGCGCATGAGGCGCCGCGATCCCTGCTACTACTGCACATGTGCTAGCACATCCAGCAGCCTTAATGAAGGATGTGCTCAAGGACACCGCAGTAAGAGACACTTCTAGCCACTCCAGTAGCTTTGCTAGTTAGGGCGTAAGATGCGCACGAGAAATCCTGTTAGCATCTCAAACATTTAATTACGCATGAGATTACATTACTTGGTTCTACTATTAACTGCCTCTGTGTTGCAGCCTCAGCTCATCCGGGTACTGAGGGGATGGGCAGAAATGCTTTGGGTGCCGAGGAACACGGCAGAACCCAGACCCCTGCTACCAGCTCAGTCAAGCTCTTCTAACAAACGCAGCAAAACCCAACGTGGCACTGTAGCTTTTGTTGTGCATTTGTGGCAACAAACCTGCGATGTGCCGTCCTCACTAGTGGTATCATCTTCTGTCCCCATCATGTGAGTTTCTCTCCTGTTTTTTAAAGAATGATACACATAAACCATCTCTCGGCGAATTTCATCCTAGAAGACAGCGGGAAGAAAACAGTTACATATGATCCACACCCTCAAATTCCTCTCACTCAGAACCTACACAGTCTTACAGCAATATGGACACAAACAAAACGGAGGAGAAAAATCAGAAAGTTACAGTATGTTTTTCTTGGAGGGAAACATTTTACTCATGCAAAAAAAAATTGTACAAGACAGTCCGTCCCGTTTCCCCCCCTTTTTTTTAATTAAGACAACAAAAAGCAATTTCATACTAATAAACCTTCACAGATAAGAAGCAGTCTGAACACAACGTAATCCAAGATGCCAGCATCTGTTTTGTGGAACAACTTCGTAGCGCCCCTGGCACCCACTTAGGTACAAAGATAACTCGGCAGTGAAGAATAAATGCAACCACAGTCAAGAGCAGCGGCAACCAAGAGAATTCCCTCTCTTGAGGGAACCTATTTTTATAACTTATTCATGCTCTTAAATACAAAGAATAATAATTTAAAAAAAAATCCATTATCAAGAGCTACAGAGGCCATTTAGCAGCTGTAACGATCTACCATCTAACCTCAGACAAACGCCATGCACCTACCATGCAGAATCACAGACTAAATGTAGTTCTGTAGCTCTCCGGAAGGCAGGAATGTGCCACATTGCGGCTCGACCACAACCCCGTGATCTCCTAACAAACCCTAGTGGGATGCAGGACCCAGCTAAGTAAAACTGCATGACCCTACTGCAGACCAGTACAACAGAGCAACAACTCGCATACCCCGCGCTCCCACCCCAAGCATACGAGGGGAGGCTTCGTTATACTTACAGAATTCTCTTGATCTGGTTCCACCGTAATGATAGCATGATCTCTAAACTGCAGTCTGATTTTGCTATCTATTTTTGGCAATTTCCCACCTAAGAAAATTAAATTCTCCGTTAGAAAGGAAGGAAACCAGACGAACAGTGCAAATGGAGCCCTCTGTGCACAACCCGCTCTCTTGCGGCTAGAGTTTTTATTAACCTCTGTTTCAACACCCACATGTTCTCAAACGTGGGGCAGAGGGGAGGGGGAGAGAGGTTTTTTTTTTAGTTCTCTCACCTTTACAGTCTACAAATAGCTGTAATAGCAAGCTGGAGCATAAGGACAAATTCTACCAGTTAAACATTCTCAGTACCCAGTAGTTTATTAAAGCTGCCGATTTCAGTCTAGCATAACTTTATTTACTGCACTCTAAGAGAGACGTGTCATCTCTTCCGCTAGACACAGGGAATTAACCAACTGAGGTATGCAAATGCCCACATAGAGCCTAGCAAAACATGAAGCTGACGCTAGACTATAATCTTTGCCTACTGTAAAATACCAAAGTCTTAAGAGGCAGAGTTAGCAACAGCTACCATCACATCAGCCAGTTTTGGTAGCTCCAAAAATCTACCTGGAGTCAAAGGAGCAGAGTCGCATCCCAAGCAAGGTGGCAACCGGTTCATAATGAAATCCTTCTTCATGTCCGATGATCTCAGTTCTCTGGTGTTTTCCAGACGGTCTGCAAGCTTTCTCAAAAGGCTACTCAGTTTTTTTGTCGAGTCAGCTATATCCACCTGCTAAATATTCACACAAGAGTTGCTCTCGCATGAATTCAGGCTAAACAGACTAGCCTAAAGAGAGAGAGGTGCAGTAATGCAGTGAAATTCTGGACACTCCATAAAGAGGTCACAGAACAATTTACAGCTTTGCTAACTTTTAAAGATTCAAAAGCTTGGCCTGACAGGAACTATGCCTGCCTGACAGCTCCAAAGCAAATACCATTACTTTCAGAAGGAAACAAGCCATACAAGGACACTGTGATATGAAAGAAAGGCAGTGCAATGAACTAGGCACTGCTTCAGATGGAACAAACCTCAGAACAGTCATCCTGAAGCCTTCACTAGAAGCGGTTGTGCTGCTAGACAAGATGGTGCCATTGCACTGAGCTTTCAGAGCAGATCAACAAGATACGTGCTTGCCTCAGCGCTGAAGTTTCAGCTGGATGCACTGTTATTCCCTTAGTCCCACCTACTTACCATAAGCAGTTGCCTTGGTATGCTTGCCCGCAGCACCACATCTTCTTTTGCTGTATCAAACACAAGGCCAGGAATTGCATCCAGTAAAAAATCTCCCCAAGAGCTGAAGGACGGGAAGAAAAAAAATAAATTACTAAAATAGTTGCACTGATATAAAACAGACAACTGATGTCAAGGGCTGGAAACGTAGTGCTCCAATTCCAAATTTACTTTGTGCCTTTGGCCCTTCCATTACCTGGCTTCAGATCAGTGGCACTCCTACAGAGAGAAGGAACTGGCTTGCGGAGGGTCCCGATTGTTCTGATTCAGGTGCTTGCCATTTACCAGTGGATTCAGCTCAAGGCCGACCTCACTGAATGAAGGAATTCCTACAGGGGCCATTATTATCCAACCTCACACACGTACGGCCTCACTGCACACAATGAAGTGTGCGGCACTGTGTCATTTAACATGCTTTTGAGACACTTACATTGAAGGAGGTAATGTACCCAGGTTTATCAAATCCAACATGCCATCAGTTCTTAGCTTTGCTACAAACTTAATTATGACCCCA